TGTACTTAATCCAGTTGTACCAGCCGAAGTATAATTATTGTAGTCCAAACACCAAACATGAATGATTATGCATCATTTTCGAAGAACTCGTGATGAATTCTAAGTTATATTTTTAATATACTCTTCTAAATCCTCTTCTAATACATTTTTTGGCTTTGCTACTGTCTTCTTCGGCTGCAGGATTAAAGATGATTTTTTTTGAAAATAGTAAAAACTAGTACTACTAGTACAATTAGTAAAACAAATAACTATTTAGATGAAATATTATAGAAAAATTCCAAAAATTCTAAAAACTCCAACAAGTCTCAAATATTAAGTATAATATTATGAGGTGATCCAAGAAGATTGCATTCAAAGATAACAAGAAAACTGATCACATCACATAGTCTCAGATGATCATTTATCAAACATAGATTTATCAATATGTATGTTTATAAGTTGTCTGAATAAAGTTGCAAAGTTGTACTGGTTATACACGTTCTAATTGTATCAGTTATACTAATTATATGTATTATAGTTGTATCGGTTGTACCAGTTATAAGCATTCTAGTTGTACCAGTTCTACTAGTTATATGCGCTCTAGTTATACTAGTTATACTCGTTTGAGTTATACTAGTTGTACCAGTAATACTATGCGTTCTTCATTCTCGTGAATATCATACACTGATGATGAGATTTGGTTTAAAATGGTAGAAATCTGATTAAAGAGGATGATGGGTTGATCGATTTGTCCAAAGATGATTATGATTGAGATAAATAAACGTTGAGATTAAAAATTTGGAAGAAATTGAACCATCAATGACTTTTGAAAAGGGGAAGAACAAAAAATTAGGGATTTGAGAAAAGATCCAACTTGGATCCAGAAATGTTGTCTGGGTCGAATTTTAAATGGTTGGGTTGTAAATTTATCAACTTCCATAAGGATAATGGTCATTTCCCTACTTTTTCTATTTTAAAAGAAAATAAAAATTAATTGGAAAAAGAATAGGTCTATTATAGATTTTTTTCACTCCACTTGGTCCATTCTAGCATTTAATCCGATTTTCTTTTGGATCAAATTTGGTAGAAAGTCAATTTTGAGCACCAAAAAAAGATTCACACTCACATTAACATTGTAAAGTTAACTCACAAACTCATTCAGTTTTTTTTTTATATAGAACATGCAAGTAGCACTCACACTTTTCAGTATATAACTTTAAGATCCCTCTAATATCTTTGCGTAAAAAGTATAGTTTATCATCAAATATTTTTTAAATTAAAGTACTATTTGATACTACATATTACTATATTACTATATATTTATCAGTCTATCATTCTTACAGACAGCGTTAATTTGAAGTCAGTATGTCATTATCCTGTACAAAACCTGGAAGTTGCTTTAAACCGTGGTGATTAAAGTACAAGAGGCGGGTTTAGACAGAGATGAAAATTCAGAAGCACGTAAAATGGTTATGATACTGTAGCAATTTAATTCTGGAGTCGATGTAATTTTTGATACTGTAAAACCAGAGGTAATTAAGCAATATTTTATTTACTTTACCATATTGAATTATTGATTGGTAAAAATTGTAGTATTAGTAATTTTGTCGTGTGTATATTAGACTTTTTTTTATCACTGATATTCTATTAGTCTATAAACACCTAAATAGCATATTCATCAAAAGAAATTATTATGCGTTTAATGAATTTGAAGTGTTAGGCGTTGAGTTGTAATCTGTTAGCGTATAGCCCTCTTTAGAGGTTTATCTGCTACTTTGTTGATGCTCTCATATCAAATCCGATAACATGTTGGGCTGTTGGTAACTTGGTATATAACTACAGATCTATGAGACTCCTAGTTTCGCACTTTAACGATTGGAATAAAACAAAACTCATGGACTTTAACTCAATAGGCCAACAAGCAAGCTGGAAAGTTTAATCTCTTATGAAATCTTACCTTCACCCTCAGCCAATCACAACTGGCTTGTAATTTTTGGGGTCTCTCCTTGATGTATGGCAATGTGACAATGTATTTGGTAAACATTGAAGCAATAGTACTCAACCATGCTTGGCCCATAGAATAAGACGTATGTGCAACAGCTCATGGTCCATCACCATTTTATTGTGTGGTCAACAGGTCAATTACTCAGAAACCATAATATTACAAGAATATTTGGGAATCAATTAAAATGTAAAGTAAAAAGCAAAAATAGGTAAGACTCGCTAGAATCTATCCAAAAATGGTAATGGCAATGAGATCTAGAAATGTACCATAAAGTATTTAGGAAAGTTCTTTAAATTTTAGATTTTTTTTTTTATGTAAGACCATCTTTAACCAGGGTCTTTAAAGGGATTATTAGCATATGGATCCCACAAAAAGCCATAGGATCGATAATGAAAACTATGAATTGGTGACCGATTATTGTATTGTTTTGTAGGTCCAACCTGCGATTGATTTTTTTCTTTTTTCTTTTTCAGGCTAAAAAAATTTAAAAAAAAAAGAATTTTATTTTTTTAAGGACCCTGTACATTAAAGATGGCCTAAGTTGTAGGAAGGAGTCCTAACTTTTTATCTCAGTTGTAGGAAGGAGTCCTAACTGTTTATTTAGGAAAGTTCCTTAAATTTTAGATTTTATTTTTTTTTGTTGTATTTTAAACTTTAAAGGTATTTTACCTTCTGCTTTTAAAAACAAGCTTATGTAATTTAAACTATCTTCTCTGTCAATTTTTAATATATTTTAAAGTAACTACGTATAAAGATTAATTACACAAGTTTACTATCATAGGATCACAAGTCTGTGAAAGAAAAAAAAAAATTTCCATCCCATATGGTTAAAGTTAAAAAGATGGAAGATTGTGAGTCCTCTGAGGAAGTATGGAAGCTGGTCCTCATTACCAAACTTCACCTTTTTGAGCAGACACCCCCATCAACTTGTTAACTAAAATACCTCCTTAGCATGGCACATGCAGAAGTCAATTGCCACAATCTGTCTCACTCTGGAAAGAAAGTAACCTTAACTACACTGCTTTGACATATATAGTGACATGTACACCATGTAAATTGGTTGTAGCATTAGGGACTCGCTCATTACTTGTCAAGATCGTAAAAGCTACATAAACCTTAAGTCTCTTTAGCTAGTTCATATATACCAAATGCAATCTTTCCATAGCTGCTCTAGTTAGCTTTTTGTATACTTGTCAACTTTGTGAATGCTTTTCCACATTCTTTTTCTAAATTATTCTTCAGAAATTAGCATTACGTTACGCTTTTTCCTGTAAATCAAATTCACAATTTATCAATACACAAAAACAATTATTCTTTCTCGATAAAAATATATATATTTTAAATACACTTGATGACGGCGACTTAACTAACAAAATCTTTTTCCCCGATATCATATATTTCATTAACTAAAATAAAGGAGTAGGAATATTCGTTGAATATGGACTTTCTCAATATGTATCGCAACAGATAAATGTAATTTCTTTTTGTTTCGAAAAATATAAAGTTCAGAATTATTTCTCTCTAAACCCTATTCGTCCAGTCATGTTATATTCCTAAAGATCAAGCACACATAACAACATTCATACACAAAACTTATACGTCCACAAAAAAAAAAAAAACAATGGCCATCTTCGATCCGTTTAAACTCCGCCACAAACCACCGTCAATTTTCCCGACGGCTGTTAAAACAGGTCATGTTTTTTCAGTAGTCGCTAAGTTCTTTTTCACCATATGCATCTTAATCTCTGTTGCTATGATCTTCTCATACATCATCTTCTCCGGTTGCTCCGATTACCAAAGTTTTGCCAACCACCGCCGCTTTGGCCGTGACAATGTACTCTCAACTACCAACTCCTCCTCTTCAAACATCTTCCGGAAAAATCATTCCTCAGAAGCCACCGATATCTCCCACATATTTTTCGGGATTGGTGGCTCCATTCAAACGTGGAGAGAACGTAGCCGCTACACCGAGCTCTGGTGGCGACCAAACAACACCCGCGGATTCGTATGGCTTGACGAGGAGCCGCCTCTTAACATGACGTGGCTCCCCACTTATCCACCGTACAAAGTCTCGGCGGACACTTCCCGTTTCAATTACACTTGTTGGTACAGTATATGCTACTTCTACTTCTATTTCAATTATTAACCTAATTATTTAAATCAATTAGTATATGCTATTTCTACTTCTATTTCAATTATTAACCTAATTAACTAAATCAGTTAGTATATTAAACAAACTAAACCGGCCGTGGATATAGGTTTGGGATAAATAAGATTTTTTTTTGCTAAGGTAGATTTTTTTTTTTTTTTTGTCACTGACTAAGGTAGATCCTTAATCAGTTGAAATTGTGACAATCATGAATATTAATTTTATTGATCTGATTTTTTTCTTGGTTTACAAGGTATGGTACAAGATCGGCTATACGAATGGCGAGAATAATCAAAGAGAGTTTTGAGCTAGGGTTAACGAACGTGAGATGGTTCGTGATGGGTGATGACGACACCGTTTTCTTTGTAGACAATCTTTTAACACTTCTTAGTAAGTACGACCACAATCAAATGTATTACATTGGAGGAAACTCGGAGAGTGTCGAACAAGACATTGTTCACTCCTACGCCATGGCTTACGGTGGCGGAGGGATTGCAATTAGCTATCCATTGGCTGTCCAGCTTGTAAAGATACTCGACGGATGCATTGATCGGTACGCATCGTTATATGGATCTGACCAGAAGCTTGAAGCTTGTATTAGTGAGATTGGAGTTCCCGCGACCAAGGAACTAGGGTTTCATCAGGTATATTCGCAGTTTCCCATTTTTTCTAATTACTGGAAATGCACTAGTAAACCTAATAACCAAATGGAAATTCATCTAATTAATAACTTTTAGCTGTGAAATTAAAATCATTTTCCCCCAAAAATACTGAACTTTCTTGATTTAGTATTCAGTTTTAAATTTCAAACTTCCAAATATCGTATTTTAAATTTAAAATAATTAGTTAAAGATATTTTATTAGCTCGATAGATTTTTTTTTGTTTAACCGGGATGGGTTCGGGCCTTCGGTCTTAATTCCTCCTAGGTCCGGAACCAGTCAGCGTCTGTACCTTTTACGACACTGAACACTTCTCTCCGCCCGAGACTCGAACTCGTGACCTCTCAAGCAATTGGCTGAGGTGTTAGAAATTTAAATTTGCAAGAGTTGAGAAGCTTGAATTCCTTGCTACATTTCTATATACAATAAACCGATTATGGGAATTATAATATACTTTTGTGGCATATTTGGTTTAACAATTTAGGTGATATTTCTATAAATTTTGAAACCACAATATGGTGGGAATTAAATATTTTATTTGCATGGTCAAATCCAGGTTGACTTACGTGGCAACCCGTACGGTTTACTAGCTGCTCATCCAGTGGCTCCTCTGGTATCGCTCCACCACCTTGACTACGTTGATCCAATTTTCCCCGCAACGACACAAATCGACGCCCTAAGAAGACTCATATCCGCCTACAAAATGGATCCAAGTCGGATCCTCCAGCACAGCTTCTGCCATGACACAACCCGGAACTGGTCTGTCTCCGTTTCTTGGGGCTATACTATTCAGATTTATCCGTCTCTAGTCACGGCTAAGGAGCTTGAGACGCCGTTCCTTACGTTCAAGTCGTGGCGGACGTCGAGTTCCGAGCCTTTCACGTTCGATACCCGACCCATCAGCGAAGATCCTTGTGAGAGACCCATTGTTTATTTCCTGGACCGGGTTTATGAAGAAGGGTCGGATCAGTCTCTCACTACTTATCGGAAGCATGTTGAAGTGAGTGACATGCAATGTGAATCTCCCGAGTATTCTCGCGTGAGTTCAGTCGATTTCATCGACATCTCCGTTGCTAAATGGATGCCGGATCTCTGGAAAATGGTAAGTAAGAAATCCAATTATAGGAAATTATAAAGTTTTTCAATGCATATATAATTCCATTGTGTATATATATAACAAGATTATAGACTCAAAACCCTAGAGTATTAGATATGAAATAACTGATCAATACTAAAGGCTTTCAGAGATAGTAGTGTATGAGACACACTAATTACAAAAAAAAAAAAAAATCGTGAATTATTTTTATAGTGTTTTGGGAGAAGTGTCTTAACTTAGTATAACTTTTGCATTAGATTTTAATATATTTGACTATGATGGTGATTTGCAGGCACCACGTAGGCAATGTTGTGAAATTCTCAATGGCAAAGAAGACTCGGAATACGTTATCAATGTCAATATACGGCATTTTAATCCTTCCGAAAGTGTGACTCCTCAGTCCTAGCATCTGAGCCCCAAAATGATCCAAAGGTTTTGAAGTCTGACAAATTGATCGACTCTGTTTTGCCTGGGAACATTATTTATCTTCTCATGTCAAAAGGAAATGAGCAACAAGTTTCCTAACCTTTTTATGTACATATCATCTAACCGAAGATTCGAACTTAGATAAAGTCAAGTATAAAGTTTTTTTTGTTGGCAAAATTGGTTTATTTATTTATTTATACAAGTTCAAAAAAAAAATTGGTTTATTTATTATATACATGCTTCAAATGCATTATTGAAGACATTATTTGCCCATTGAAGAAATTGTACTTTTGCTTCAAATGCATTATTACAGCAACTTGGTGCAAAGCCCATTAAAGACTTTGTCCTCTTGCTTCAAATACACTATTGCAACGACTTAGCTTATAGTCCAGATGACTTAGCTTATACACCAGGCAACAGACTCATCAAACTCGGTCAAAAAACTTGGAAGTATAGTCCAGATGACTTGCTTATAGTCACAGGACTCACATTTAAACATACTACTACTTGATTAAGAGAGAACATTTTTCGTTGCAAAGATGATAGAAATGTTTTTAAGAAAATTATTTTGATCTCTATTTTAACTTCATCTTACCACAACCGACGTGATAAAGTCTTCTTTCCAAATTCCGAACCATAACACAAGGCTAATGAGAGAAGACTTTGTTTGCATTCGGACAATCTAACGCTAGAACTCCAGTAGATCAAAAGAAAAGATTCACATAGTTGACTTACAAAATCAACGATTATCCAGTCTCAGAAGCTTCCAAGATTAGAGTGGACCCCCTTCTAGTCTATGATTTTTGACTAGATGTGCCAACGTGGGTCCCAATCTCATTAAGGTCACTTCCACCCACCACCTAATTCATCATTATGGTAAAATGCTACACCTAAAATGTTTAAATAAAAGTTGGCATAAAATAAAAAACAGGAAATTCACATGGAAGTTGGCAACTATATACAATACTCCTATAAATTAAGAATCATTTTAGTTTTACTAAGGTGCCATATAATCATATCATAAAGAAATTTGTTTCATCAACCAAACGAAAAAAAGAGGTGTGGAGTTATGTCGTCGGGAGGAAATTTGAGAACATGTTTGTGTCCACATAAATATTCCGAGTAGAAATATATTCCCAGATGACGTTGTCTGCCCAATTACTAAGTGTGTTCCATTATCACTTTCACATTACAACTTCGGGAAAGTTGAAAGTAAGTCGCTGTATTGGCATATTAGACGACTGTGAGTCTGTTGATAGCAAAAAAATAATAGAGAGTACAGTTAATCCAAAACCAAATTAAACTATTATATTATTTACTTAATGATAATACTCCATAAACTTTCCTTGGCAACGTGCTGGCTTAACTCTGATGTCATTGTTATGTAATCTCGTGACACACTACTAGGTCAAGGTCAAATCCGAATGAGCATATATAATTACTTCATAATGATCATACATATTAGTTAAATTATAGCAGCGTATGAAACATAATACTCATTGACGTGATGTTAGTTACAACTAGAAACTCAAAAAAAGCAACTGATGACTCTAATAGTTACCATCGAATCTTCGATCACCAGCCACAAATATTTTTTTTTTTGTTCAGACAATGGTGCATAATACCTTCAATATTTTAAACAAAACATCCTTGTTGTTACGGCATCATGAGCGTGATAGAAGGCATTAAAATGCTAGTATATAAATTTCAAACAAGCTTTAATCTTGGAATATGGAACACATATCACCTACCTTGATTAAATTTATCAATCACTAACCATCCCCACAAAGAAACAAATAATCTTGTTTTATTTCTAGAAAGAAAAAAATATACGACTTTTCCACTCTCTTCACACCATAAATTATCTTTCTCTCTTCACACCACTAAAAAATATCCAAAGGGAATCAAAAACAGAGCAACAAAGAAAAAACAGAGGAAGCCATGTTCTTGAAGCTCTTCTTCCTCCTCTTCTTGAACCTCCTCTTTCAAGAAACATCTTCTCAAAGAACCAACTTCACTTACAATGGCTTCTCTCCACTACCCACTGACATATCCCTCCAAGGGCTCACCACCGTCACAAAAAACGGTCTCCTTCTCCTAACCAACTTCACTGTCCAAAAAACCGGTCACGCCTTCCTAACCAAACCAATCCGGTTCAAAGATTCACCAAACGCCCCCGCCTACTCCTTCTCCACAACCTTTGTCTTCGCTATCCACTCTCAGATCCCAATACTCAGCGGACACGGCATCGCCTTCACCATAGCTCCTAAGCCAAGCCTCCCTGACGCAACCGCAAGCCAGTACATGGGTCTCTTCAACATAGGAAACAACGGTAATGACACAAACCATGTCTTCGCTGTTGAGCTGGACACGATCAGGAGCACAGAGTTTAACGATACAGATGACAACCATGTCGGGATCGATATTAATAGTTTGCACTCAGAGAGAGCTGCATACGCTGCGTGGTGGGACGAGAAAGGAGAGTTGAAGAATCTGAGTTTGATAAGTCGTAAACCTATGCAAGTTTGGGTTGATTACGACGGTCTGACTCATAAGATCGACGTGACGATGGCTCCGTTCAACGAGGATAAACCTAAGAGGACACTAGTGTCTACTGTGAGAGATCTTTCTCCTGTTCTACTCCAAGACATGTACGTTGGGTTCTCTTCCGCGACAGGTTCTGTTCTTTCGGAACATTACATCCTCGGGTGGAGCTTTGGTGTGAACACCGAAGCTCCACCTTTGGCTTTATCGAGACTTCCGAAGCTTCCTCGGTTCGTGCCGAGGACGATTTCGGATTTTTTCAAGATCGGTATGCCTTTGATCTCTCTTTTCTTGATTTTCTGCGTGATTTTCCTCGTCTGCTTCATCGTGAGGCGGAGGAGGAAGTTTGCGGAGGAGCACGAGGAATGGGAGAAAGAGTTTGGTAAGAACAGGTTTAGGTTCAAGGATTTGTACTACGCTACCAAAGGGTTCAAGGAGAAGGACCTTCTTGGCTCCGGCGGGTTCGGGAGCGTCTACAAAGGTGTGATGCCTGGGTCGAAGTTGGAGATCGCTGTGAAAAGAGTTTCTCACGAGTCCCGACAAGGGATGAAACAGTTTGTGGCTGAGATCGTTAGTATTGGTAGGATGAGTCATCGGAACTTAGTCCCTCTCTTGGGTTACTGTCGCCGTA